GTGTGTGTGTGTGTGTGTGTGTGTGTGTGTGTGTGTGTTCCGCAGGATCGAGGAGGAGCTCGGCGATAAGGCCAGGTTCGCAGGCAAAGACTTCCGCCACCCCAAACTCTAAAGCCTCCAGCATCTTCCAGCAGTACTGCAGCAGCTCTGATGTACTTTTTTTGAAATGAGACGTAAATAAAGCAATGGAAAGAAATGGAGTGTCTGTGCCTTTATTCACATGCTGTAACAGTCGTGCTTCTCTAATGCGCTTTAATAGCTGCTTTTGTGCTCTGATGATCGGTTTTATCATCTGCACAGTCAAATCATTCAAATAGATTTTACTGTATTTTAATTTTATATTTGATCTAATTAATAATTCAGGTTTTTATTAACCCACAAACCCACGTTAAGACACACAGTTTTTGCCATACAGCAGTTTATATTGTCCATGACCATCAAAAATCTTATTGTCAACAATTAATCTGTGCATTTATGTATATTTTCTGAGCTGGTGATGTTTAATCAGAATGTCATAACTGGATCTTCTTCTGTTTGGTGATGTGTGCAGGATCTTAAGCTCCGCCCCTGCAGCTCACACTCATTTGCATACACTTTAGAGAGCCATGCCCACATCTCAAATTCCAATCAACAACTGATGCACAGAATGAAACTCCGCCCCACATTTTTTATTAAACTGATGCTAATTCAGACTTTATTTACAGTGAAAAACTAATCTTCAAATAATGAAAGTGACGTGACATGTGGACAAGTACGGTGATCCATACTTGGAATTAGTGCTCTGCATTTAACCCATTCAAAGTGCACACACACAGCAGTGAACACACACCCGGAGCAGTGGGCAGCATTTATGCTGCGGCGCCCGGGGAGCAGTTGGGGGTTCGGTGCCTTGCTCAAGGGCACCTCAGTCATGGTATTGAAGCGCTGTACATTCACTCCCCCCACCTACAATCCCTGCCGGTACGAGACTTGAACCCACAACCTTTGGGTTATGAGTCCGACTCTCTAACCATTAGGCCACGACTTCCCCAGAAGTAAATAACTTTCTCAACTGACTTTATCACACACACTCTCTCTCTCTCTCTCTCTCTAACACACACACATGCACTCACACACACACACTCTCACTCTCTCACACACACACACACACACACTCACTCTTACTCACACTCTTACTCACACTCTCACACACTCTTACACACACATGCAGGTTTGTTTTTATGGTTTATGGGGACTCTCCATAGTCGTAATGGTTTTTATACTGTACAGACCGTATATTCTATTGCCCTACACCAACCCTACCCCTAAACCTACCCCTCACAGGAGACTTTGTGCATTTTTACTTTCTCAAAAAAACTCATTCTGTATGATTTATAAGCTTGTTTCCTCATGGGGACCTCAAAAATGTCCCCACAAGGTCCAAATTTACTAGTATTACTATCCTTGTGGGGACATTTGGTCCCTATAACGTGATAAATACCAGGTACACACACACACACACAGTCACACACACTCTCTCTCACACACACACACACACACACACACACACACACGGTGCTGCTGTCGTCAGAGCTGAAGGAGCACGGGGTTTTGTGTGTGTGTTGCTCGGCGACGCTCATCAGGCCGAAAGCGTTTCAGCGCAGCATCCCACAAACAAGCGCGTGTGTCATATTAGTGTGTGTGAGAGTGTGAGTGTGATGTAGAGTCCAGAGGTCAGAGGTCAGCCTCCTGTATTGTCGGCACACAGGAAGTTGGCAGGTGCTGTGGCTGTGCTGTGAAGTTTGCGTCAGAGACAGACAGACGCTCTCACTCCTCTGCGTTCACACACACCTCTGCTGCTGTCTGCAAACCTTACCGCATTTAAACACAAAATCATTCAATAGTCACTTTAAAATTGTCTCAAAAAAATGCCAAAATGTTTCTGGAGCAGCAGATCAGCATATTATACTGATTTCTGAAGATCATGTGACACTGAAGACTGGAGGAATGATGCTGAAAATACAGCTGCGCATCACAGAAATACATTACAGTTTAACAGAGATTCACATAGAAAACAGCTGTTTGGAATCATAAAAATATGTCACAATTTTCACAGCCCTGGTGAGCAGAAGAGACTCTTTCAGGAACATGAAGAAGGGTTTAATCACTCTGCTGGTGTGAAGTGTAGTTTTGGTGTCTGCGGGGGGCCGTACAGAGGTTGAAGGGCCCGTGACCTGTGGTCATCGCTAGGGAAACTCTCATCTGACGTGCAACTATTGTGTGTGTGTCTCGCAGGAGGACATAGTTCCCGAGCGCCGCCCGTTTCCAGGGAGAACTTTTATAGGGGGCGGAACCTGAGCGGGTCAGAGGTCACGTCAGTCTGTGACTGTGAAGAATGACGAGCTATAAATGGGCCACTGATTAAATGTGACACAAAGCACGGAAATGAAGCGCTTACAGTCGTCACTAGGGCTTTCTGAACTGGAGGAGTTTGTGAGGAATGAGGATCTGTGTTCAGTCTGTAGGCCGTGACGCGGCGTGACGTCTGAGGGGCGGGGCGTCGTTCACGGCAACCGATCGCTATGTGTGACATCACAGCGATGCTCCTTAAAGGGCCGGCGCGGCACCTGCTCCGACAGAGACCCGTCCTGAAGCGTACAGGACAGAACCGCAGCGCAGATAACGTGATCCAAGCGTTAGACTGATATTTATTTTCCGAGTTGGTTTAATTTCTCTCAAACAAGGATGTTTTTTTCATCCCCTCTGAACTTCGGCTCCTCTCTTCATCTCACTCTCCTCCTGCTTCTCATCATCGCCGTGGCAACGCAGGTAGAGGGACGGCCGTCACCACGGCAACCAGATGCTCAGGTGAGGATTTGATTTGTGTGGCAACCTCTGACTCGGCCAACCACGTGAGTTTGGGGCAGGACTATCGGACTGACTGACCAATGAGAGACGAGTGTTTGGGAAACATGTTTGAAAACAGTCATAATGTGTGTGATTGTGTTTCACGGCTCTAGTGCTGCACAAATTACACACTTTAGCTTAAAAAAAAATTGTGACAAAAGGCATACTATTTTCTTGCTCACTTTCTTAAGAGACAATGTGGTGCATGATTTGTACAGTTCACAAACTAAATCCAGCGTTTGTCACGTAAAAATAAAAAAAGCAAATGTTAACTTTTCATTTAGTTTAGTGATGTACTAAATTAAGTTCAACTAAAACTGAAATAAAAATTAATAAAAGCTATAGAAATGCGGTGAAATTAAATGTATATTATGAGAAAACGAAAGTATTTTTTGGCATTGCATGCATGTAAACTTGTTGTAGGAGCCTCCCAAAACAATATTAGCACTTTAACAATAACACTGAATAACACATAAAATTCAAATTGAATATATTTGCATAAACTCCAAATATTAATGCAAGCTATAATAGTATCTCAATTATTTAGGGGGGGAAAAACGTCAAAATGCTAAATTATCATTTTCTTTTTCAAATTAATAACATCCAGGGTTATTATAGGTAACGGAAACTAAAACCATTAAAAATAGTTTCATTACCTGAAAAGTTCACTAAAATAAAATATAAAACATTTATTATTTTATTTCACTTCACTTTTATTTTATTTTTAAAAAATGATGTTTTATACATTTATTTATTTTATTTTTTTATTGCAACATTTCACATTTTCATTTAGTTTAACATGATGTACTAAAATAACTAAAACGGCATTAACAAACAAATAAATAAATAACAGTCATATCTAAACCCCTCAAACAAAAATAGTAAACATTACAAAAACACACAACAAAATTACAAAAAAGAAAAAACTAAAATATTAAATGAAAACATTTAAAATTAAATAAAAAATGTATTAAATATATTAATAAAAAACTAAAATATTAATGCAAAGTAAAAAAGTATCTATTAAAAGTTATATTAAAATAACTCTTATAAGGTTGTGTGATAATGTATGTAATATTTGTTGCTGCGTCATGCATTCTTTACAAAGTAAGCAGTATTTACAGTAGTATAAGCAAACTACACTATGTTAGGAGTAGAAGACTAGCCTCTGAGACTTTCACACTGAAACCGTAGCAATACTCCATGATGAACACTTCAAACAGCAGTGCACTAGATAGGTGTCACATATAGACATTAAAGCCAGCTTGTCATTTTGTTTGACTTTCAGGTACTTTATTGCTTCTAATCAAGCTGATTGGTTTGATTCATGGTTTGTAATGCTTTACAGTTTTTACAAGCTCTAGGACACATTTCTCAATACTTGGGTCACTTTCACTCTGTGGATAAACTGTGGATCATTTATCATTGCTTTCGTCTTTCATTTTCATTACAACCAAAAGTGGAAAACTTAGCAATAATTTTGTACTGTAATGTAAACATGCACCATGTAACATATACTGCAGTAAATTATAAAACAGTAAAGAGTATCATTCTTGTTTTGCTAAGACATTTTACAAAAGAAGTCATTGTATAATGCTGCTTGTTGTTAGTGTTTGTTAGGTTGTTGTGTTGTGAGTGATAAAGTGCTGAAAACCTTTGCTAGTGTTATGGAAGAATGATCACATATAGACATTAAAGCCAGCTTGTCATTTTGTTTGACTTTCAGGTACTTTATTGCTTCTAATCAAGCTGATTGGTTTGATTCATGGTTTGTAATGCTTTACAGTTTTTACAAGCTCTAGGACACATTTCTCAATACTTGGGTCACTTTCACTCTGTGGATAA